TACCTACTTTACATTCTGTTAAGACTTGGTTAGCTAGTTGTTTTTCTATGAAAGATTTGGGTGAGGCAGCGTATATCTTAGGAATTAAGATATATAGAGATAGATCATGACGACTTCTAGGTCTGAGTCAAAGTACATATATAGATAAAGTGTTGAAAAGGTTTGGTATGGAAGAATCCAAGAAATAATTTTTGCCTATGAGACATGGCATTTCTCTTTCGAAGGAAATGTGTCCTTCAAACAAGAAAGAGAAAGAACGAATAAGATTCCATATGCTTCAACTATTGGTTCTATCATGTATGCCATGATATGTACTCGACCAGATGTATCGTATACTTTAAGCATGACGAGTCGATATCAAGCAAACCCTGGTGAAAATCACTGGGTTGCGGTTAAAAATATCCTTAAGTACTTAAGAAGAACTAAGAATAAATTTCTTGTGTATGAAGGAGAGGAAGAGCTTAGTATAAAAGGTTATACTGATGTCAGCTTCCAAACTGACAAGGATGACTCACGATCATAATCGAGTTTTTGGTTTTGTCTTAATGGAGGTGCTATGAGCTGGAAAAGTTTGAAGCAAGAAAGAGTAGTTGATTCTACAACAGAGGCTAAATGTATTGCAGCCAATGAAGTAGCAAAAGAGGTTGTTTGGATCAAGAAGTTTATATTGGAATTAGTGGTTGTTCCCAACATATCAGATATTTTAGAACTCCATTGTGACAACAATAGAGCCATTGCACAAGCAAAGGAACCTAGATCTCATCAACGATCCAAACATATTCTTAGGTGCTTTCATCTCATTCGAGAGATCATAGATCGAGGAGATGTGGAAATATACAGAGTACATACGGATGACAACATTATTGATCCCTTGACGAAGCCTCTTACACAGAAGAGGCATGATTTTCACACTGAGTCACTCGGTATTAGATATGTGAGTGATTGGTCTTAGTGCAAGTGGGAGATTGTTAGAGTTTGCACAAAGACCAATCATATGATGGTTGTAATAATACATTTATTTACCAATTTTATTGAATAAAGGCATTGCCAATATTATTTTCAGTTATATGTCTGTGTTTAACATAAACTAAAAGATAATAAAGTTGTTGGGATTTTCGGATGCTTGAATCGACAATCGGAACGTTTTGCAAAGAGGGGTCAGAACGGTTTTGTGTTTAGGGAGTAAGGAGATTGAAAGATAGAGAATTGCACAGCGATTTATAGTGGTTCGACTTTCTCAACCAAAGTCTACGTCCACTACCTTAGCTCCTCACCAAGGATTTTCCAATAAATTCACTAATTTGTTCTTTCTTTTGAGGACAAAGGGATAACCTTACAACTCCCTAGTTTTTCTGGGCTAAACTAGAACCTTTCCCCTTTACAAAATGATAAGAAATGTAAATAAGAAAACCTCTCTAAGGTAGGTGTTTATAAGAATTAAGCTCACAAGAACAAAATATTTACAAGAGAAAGATGAAATAAGAATGAAAAACTCTTCTCTTGTGTTTGATTGCTTGGATAGTTGTTCTCTTGCTTCTTCAAGTGTCCTTAGCTTGTATTCTTGAAATGAGTTTGAAGTCGTATATAGTCATTGGGGATGTTTTAGAGACGTTTGGGGATGATTTTTCTGCTAAAAGAGGATGCCTAAGATAGGGGGTATTGGTACCTCTTCATAGGGTATCGGTACTACTTCATAAAATTCAAATTAAACTGGCCGTTGCAGCCAGGGGGTATGAATACCCCTGGGGGGTATAGATACCCTCCGAGCAATCTGGAATTTGAGCCTTCAGGGGGGGTATGGATACCCCTGCAGGGGGTATCGGTACTCTATAGCATTTTTGCTCAAATTCGAATTTTAATGTACTTTGAATTATTTTTGAAACCTTTTAAAACTTTGAATAAATTCAATTAAGTCCAAAAACATTTTGTAAATTCAATTCAAGTCTAAAAAAACATTTTGCCTTAAATTGTTATATCAAAACATAGTTCAACAAAAGTACATATAACAACATTATTAAAAGATCCATAGTCAAGTATTATTATCGGCATGGACAATAATAATACGCTTAAGACTATCATGTTATTGATTGATGACAAGGAGATGTCATTGAAATAGAGAAGTCAGAATTGTTACATGATTATATTGTTAGAGAATAATTTATTGGATTGGCCCATCATGAGCCTATGTCTTGGATTATTATATAACAGTCATAACATTGCTAATGGTGATGACTATATGTATGATCCTCATACTTGAGATCAATGCCATTGCATCATATATTGTTGTATGTCTTGATACAATTAAACATGCTCCGTAACTGGTTGCACTATAAAGACTGTTATTGAATATATCTCGATATATGTAGTGGGGTGTATATGGTTAAGATAGGATTTGTCCTGCCTACATAATAGGAAATATATCACAAGCCACTTGATTGAGTAAGACTAGAAATGCATGGCCATGTTCGAATAAGTTGATATGTGATATCATAAATTATTCATTAATTATAGTCTACTCTATATATCAAGAAACAATAGATGGGCTATACACGTGTGACTATTCTAAGACTTGTGCCTATTCTAGATATAAAAGGACAAAAGGATGTAATAAATAAAAGAGTTAATCACGAAGATGATATGTAGAATCATAATTTCTTGTAACTTAGGTGACAATGATATATTGCTAGATGTCACTCATTGTATGTAATATTAGAATTGTTCTAATAATTACTACTAAAGTTATAAGAACCTACAGGTCACACCCAAGGATTGAAATGGGAAAAGATGTACAATTTGTTGTACGTTACTAAAATATATCTAGAGTTAAGATATGTATATTTGATATACATATGTTAATTATCCCGAATATAGTAAGTAAGCATTAAAAGAATGTAATTTATATTACAACTCTTTAATTGATATATAATTCGATATAATTAAATAAGTTTTAAATAAACATTAAAGATTGTAATTCAGATTATATGTCTTTAATGTATATTTAATTTGAATTAATTAAATAATATTTTATTTATTAATTTGAAACAACTTTAAAAACCCTAAGATGTTAGGGTAATTGATACATTTAAAGGAGGTAAGGTCTAGCAGTCGTTTTTCTCAAAACTGATTTTGGGAAAAGAAAATTTTTCTCTCAATCGAATGAATTAAGTATAGGCCAAGACGTGTTTTCGTGGAGGCTTACGATTCGAATCGTTCGTGATCACCACTTCTCGCTGCTGTTTTTCAAGGAACTCATTGTAAGTATTCACATCCTTTGCTCCCGATTTTGATTTTATGTACTTGGATCACTAGTGAGACCGTCGAGTTTTGTTTCCGCTGCGCCGTGGGGTGCGCCGACGGTCCCAACATAACATAGATGCCACTAATAAGAAAATTTGTTGTAGTGATTGTTCCTCTTGTTTATGTCCTCTTTTCCCTCATATAACCCTCTTTATTGCTTTATCGTCTACTCCTTTGCCCACTCTACCATTGTTCCCTCCTCCGTTAAATCGATCATCCTATTCTTTTCCCTCTCTTCTAAACTTTGCACTGTTAAAATTGAACCCTAACGACTATAATCCAATCACAACAGCTTCAAACGACTAGAAACTCATTCCAACATATAAAAACACTCCCAGAACACTTGAAAAAGGTTACTACACACCCATCTATGAGTAAAGATAAGAGAAAAGTGTTTCAATTCTTATTTCCTTCATTTTCTCTTATATATAGTGTATTGAGCTTGTTGTATATCTTTTTATTCGTTTCTTCGTGAGATCAACTTTGTAAACACCTACCTTGAGAGGTCTTCTTGTTTACTCAAAGTAAATCTTTATAAAAGGGGACAAGTTTTAGTTTAGCTTTTGGAAAAACTAGAGAGTTGTAAAGGTTACACCTTTTCCTTCAAAGGTGAGAACAAATTAATGAATTTATTAGAAAATCATTAGTGTAGATGCTAAAGTAGTGGATGTAGACTTGATTGAGAAGTCGAACTACTATATATTTTGTTATGCAAATTGTCTATCTTTTTTTCTTTCACACCAAGAATTTTAAAAGGCTAATTCACCTCCCTTTTGTTTTATTTCAGTTGGTCCATAAAGCTTCAATAATCCCAACACAACCTCAACAACAAATCACTCCCTTAGACTTGGCAAATTTGACCTGAACTGACACTCGAAATAGACCCGAATATAATGACCCAAATTGTCTCGAAACCTAAAAAATGAATCAAATCGAAACTAACCTGAATCAAAAGCAACCCAAACCGAAAGCAACCTGAATTGCAAGTAACTCGAATTTAATTTACCCAAACCCGATCTGAACCTAACATTAACCCGATAATTGAGTTAAAGTGTATAAATATTTTATTTGTATTATTATCTATTTTTTAGCATGAATTAAATAACAAACTAGTAAGATAAAATCCAAGTATATAAATAAATTATTTATTTAATTTGAAATTTTAATTATTTTTATTAATTAAATATCAAAATTTAAAATTCATATACCTAATTAAATATCTAATAATTAAATAAATTTCAATTAAATTAAATTTATAATTAATTTATTCATTAATTAATAATTATGATAAAATTAATTTTTCTCCCCTAAATATTTTTTGTATAATCTAATTCTAATTACCTAAAATAATAATAACTTTATCATCTCAAAATGAAATTAATCTTCAAATAATTTAAATAATAATTTATTAATTCAATATTTCATTTTGAATTCTATTAGATAATGAATCAAAATTATTAAATTATGAACTCCCTTACCATTATTGGAGCAGGACACATATCACTACAACCAGCTAATCCTCAGTGGAGGAAGAGAGTGATGTCATGGAGGGGAAATGACTAACAATCAAGAGAGAGAAAAGAGAAACAATTATGATAACTCAATATTAAAACAATGATTCAAATAGTCAACAATCCTTAGAGTGGGTCAACCATGCTCTCAACTTTTTCGGAAAACTTTGAGGATCCCCGTAACCCTAAAAGCCAAGACGGCGCGACGAAGACCCGCATGATGCCGGAGGACCAAAGCCAGCCAAAGGCCCTCTTAGTCCGACTGGCAGCTTTCCAGCCCCTGAGTCTGAAATCATAAAGGATGATGAAATAGAAATTTTAGAAGGCGATGTATTTCATTCTGTGATCGATGGGACAATCTCAATCGACTTTTCGGAGAGAATTCAATCTTTGGCTGTTAAAAGTCTTGATTTAACAGTCGTGGTGAAATTGCTGGGGAGATGGATTAGTTACAACACTTTGCGAGGGAAACTCTATGATTTATGGAAGCTTGCTCAACCTTTCCATTTAATGGATATCGAAAATGATTATTTTCTGGTTACTTTCAGGACACAACCAGATTTCTTGAAGGTTATTTCGGAAGGGCAATGGACTATCTTTGGGAGTTATCTCACAATCGAACCTTGGTTGCTTGATTTCTCTACCTCTCAAACTTTTCTACGGAAGGTGGTTTCTTCGATCCAGTTGCTGGAGCTACCTGTCACCCTCTACAAGCGCATCATCATCAATGAAATCGGTGAATATATCGGACCTGTGATCCGCATAGATTACCAAACTGACAGTGGGAAACGCGTTCGTTTCGCGCATATGGCTATATCGATTGATCTCCAGAAGCCTCTAATCTCAAAACTGATTATCAATGGCAATATTCAAATTGTGAAGTATGAATCTTTGCCTACCATTTGCCACGCTTGTGGTAAGTACGGTCACATGAAAGACAATTGTCCTGATCTGAAATCAAGTGCAGCTACTGATATAGTTAAGAACCTGTAGCCCCTCGAGGAAAAGCAGATGACTGAATCTGCTACTTACGGCCCTTGTATGGTAGTAGAAAGAAGAAAAAGGAAACCTGTTAACAGCAAAGTAGAACTCGAGAACCAGCCTACAAGAAACACCATTGTTGCTTCGCGCTTCAACCCCATATTTTAAGTAGGTAACGATGATACTACTCCAGATATTCATGCTACAAACAATGGCTCAGATCCCGCCTCTTCTCGACCCCTCTCTCGTGGGAAGGAACCAACAGCGCCACCCACCAAACACCCGAAGAGCAAACCGACCATTCCCGTCCGCAGCCATTGGGGTTGTATCCAATAATCCTACCTTCCGATCTCAAGTTTCTGACAGCAACTGCCGACCAGTCCCACATCAATCTCAACGTCTTGACAGAGCGCAGCACTCTGTCATGTTTATCTCTGTGAACGATAACCCCAATGTTGTTCAAGATCCAATCCTCATGATCATGACTCTGGTATAGGTCATCGCTCACCCCAGGGATTTAAATAGTGTTCAAGGCCGTATTTTCGGTTGTGTTATGTTTATCGTAGTTGCGAACATAACAGATGTCATCGCGGTCACTGTATGTGCAGCGATCGTGAATTATTTTAAATTTCGTACAATTTATCATAAAACATAATAATTATAATTATAATTATAAAGAGTCATTTTTAATGATTTTTAGAATGTTTTCTAAACTAAAATGACATATATATATATATATATATATAATATAGTTTAATTATATAGAAGACTTTAAAATTCCGATAATAGGATAAGATAATTAATTCATGATAACATTGTAGCTTTGAGGTCTTGACTCGCCACCGTCTAATGCCAAAATACTCATGGTTTGGTGACCATGGCCCCTCAATGCCCCCAGCATAAATGGCCTCCGCACTGAATTCTTCCAGAAACATTGGGACATTGTCGGACCATCTCTATGCCACACAGTCCGTGGAGTCTTTGAAGGTAAAGATCTTGAAGCTGCTTTTAACAGGACGGTTATTGTTCTTATTCTGAAAGTTAATTCTCCAGAATCTTTCTCTGAGTTTCGTCCTATCAGTCTTTGCTCGGTGGTGTACAAGTTGCTCAAAAAGACTATAGTCAGACGAATTCAGCATCTTATGCGACTCGTCATTGCTCCCAACCAAACAAGTTTCATATCTAGAAGGAATATGACCAATAACATCATAGTCAATCAGGAGGTAATTCATTCTATGAGTCCACAAAATCTAAACTCGGATGGATGGCTATCAAAGTCGATTTAGAAAAGGCGTTCGATCGACTCCGTTGGGAATTCATTCATGATACGTTGACTTCGGCTAATTTTCCAAGGAGACTTATTCGTATTATTATGAATTGTTTCATCCTTCCAAGTCCAATGACATGGTAGCTATTCGAACCCGTTTACTCCACAATGAGGTATCCGCCAAAGGGATTCCCTCTCTCCGTATCTTTTTGTGCTCACAATGGAGAGGCTAGGATATAGTATCACAAATGTTGTTCATTACGGAAAATGGTTTCCTTTCCACTTCTCTAGGTAAGGTACACCTCTTTCCAACTTATTCTTTGCGGACGACCTCATACTCTATGCCCGTGCAAGTATGGACAATGCTTCTACCATCAATACTATTTTGACTGAATTCGTCTCGTACTCCGGTCATCGTGTTAGTACACAAATATTCTTCTTGCCTAACACCACCATGATCTTACGAGACCAAATTAGCTCCTTTTTGGGCTTCAAGATCTCGATTCCCTTGGGAAATATCTCGGAGTAATGGTAATCCATCAACGAGTGAGGTGGTCTGACTTTGATTTCATTCTCGAAAAGATACGATCACGCCTATCGGGTTGGGCTGCTAAAACCTTATCGCTAGCCGGGCGAATCTCTCTTGCGAAATCAGTTCTTGAAGCAATCCGACCATATTTTATGCAGACCTCCTTACTCCCCAAGAAGGTTTGTAAAGACATCGAGCAGCTTATTAGAAACTTCATATGGGGTTCCTCTCCTTCATCGTACAAGACTTGTCTTATCAATTGGAATAAGGTTTGTAGCCCTTTGGATCGGGGTGGTTTAGGCCTCCGTCACGCTTATGAATATAACAAAGCATTTCTCATGAAAATCGGTATTACTGTAGTAACCAAGAATGATGCGATTTGGATCAAACTTCTGAGGGAAAAATATAAACTTGTGGATCCCCTCCCGATTACAATCGGCCGCTCCTCCTGTTCCTCTCTATGGCGATCCCTGGCCAATTTTTGGGATGAATTTAGACCTCATATGGCCTGGTCTCTTGGTAATGGTAATTCAATTAATGTTTAGGATGATATTTGGGTGCATAGGGTTGGCCCTTTGAGAGAGCATGTACTTGAGCCTTCCATTGTTAATCTCTATTCCTATGTAGAGGACTTCATTACAGCTGCTGGTAATTAGAATTTTCCTTTGCTTTCCTCCACGTTCCCACCCAATATTGTTGATCAGATTGCATGAACTTGCTGCCCAAACACCGCTGATGCTGAAGATCTTTGCTGCTGGCGATGGAGCGAACGCTTCACTGTCAAAGAGGCTTACAAAATTCTGATGGAAACCAATTGGGATCCTACCAGCTCGAGATGGAAAGCAATATGGAAATTTCCAGTTCCTCGACGAATCAGGCTCTTCTTATGGTTTGCCTATTCGGATAAGCTAATGACTAATCTTCAGAGGTATCAAAGATCTCTAACTGATTCCTCCTCTTGCCCGCTTTGCAATAATGAGAGTGAATCGATTCTCCACGCTCTTCGCGATTGCACTCGGATCCGAACCATTTGGGACCTCCTAGTGCCAAGCCCTTCTCATCCGATTTTTTTTAATATGGATCTCGCTGATTAGATCTGGGAAAATATTAATTTCACCTTCACCGCTAACGCAACTAACACTCCTTGGAACACCTTCTTCGCTGCACTTGTTTGAAGCATTTGGAAGTCTCGTAACTTCATCTTTCAGGATCCGAGTGCATTGTTCTTTCTAGGTTTGTATTATGCATTGTTCTTTTTAATTTTTTTATTAATTTATCAATATGAAATTCGAAGGAAAAAAATCACGATCGATATCAATACTTTTAATTTTTCTTTTGTAAATAAACTTTGATATATATATATATATATTATATTTATCTTTAAAACTAACTTCAAATCAATTATTTTAAGTATGAATTATATATTATCAACTTTTAAACTTTATATTATTTATATTTGATTTTTTAAAATTATATATATATAACCGGATACTCATGACCCGATAATATAAATACCCAAATATTAACGACTACCTAAACTTAATATAAGACATGAGTCAACAAATATACTATATCGGGTACCCGATATTTGAGATACCCAAACATGCAAGACCCCGTTTTTGAACGCCCCTGCATAAATCTATCTACACATTTGTTGCATCTATTCTCCTCTCTTCTTAGAAACATTCTTATTTTCACTTCGACTACAAGTGTGTGTCAAAACAAACATATTGCGAGAGGTAGTTTAGAGAAAGATGGAAATGAGAGGAGAGGAAAACATAGAAATAGGAGAAGACATAACCCCACCACTCCTTCCCCTCTCCTTCTCCCTCCACGATTCTTTCCGCTCTTCCCATTGTTCCTCTTGCTTCTCCCCTCTCTCTTCCCCCTCTCATCCCTCTCACGCCCCTCTTTACTGCTCCGCCGCCTGCTCCTCCTCCCACTCCGCCATCGCTTCTTCCTCCTCCGAATCGCTCCTCCCTCCCTCCTCTCCCCTCTCCTCCGAACTCCGCACCGCTCTCCGCCTCCTTCTTTCCCTCCCCTCCCTCTGCCCCCACCTCCGCCGCTTCAACAACGGCCTTCTCACTAACCACCATAAGCTTTCCTCATCTCCCGAATTCGCCACCCAAATCCGCCAGGGAGCAATTGCTATGGCCGCCGCGAGGAAATCACGAAACGGAGACTGTGTTCTAGACCAAAGCGACAGCGTTTTACTGGAAGAGGCCGTCTTATGCTTAGTCTTAACCAACGCCGTGGAAGTTCAGGACGAGGCCGGCCGTTCTCTAGGAATCGCCGTATACGATCCTAACTTCTCATGGATCAATCACAGCTGTTCGCCTAACGCAGGTTATCGGTTCTCTGTTTCCCCTCCCAATGATACCTCGTTTGGGGAGGATTCAAGTTCCACGCTGCGGATTGTTCCTAGCATTTCAGAGGACGAATCTGGTGTTTGTAGCTGTTCTGATTACATGGAAGGTTTGTCCTCTTTACTATTTTTCAATATCGATTGCATTTATCGGTACTGCAGACAGCGATTGAACCAGAACTGAAATATTAGAATATTTTAAAAAATATAAAGATTATTTAAACTCAAAATTCAGCCCTAACTAAGCAACCTTACAATGCTCATGTGGTGTACGAGCCTTTGAGAGTTTTTATACCTATATTATCTTGTATTTACCTATATTTAAATAATAAAAAAACTCAAAATTCACACTTAATTTATGTAATATTAAGACTTACAATGACCTAAATTGTTATTAGACCAAAATTTTGAGAACAATGTGTTATCTTTCTTTAGTTAGGTCATACTTGATTAAATATTTAATAATTTTTTATATTTTTAATTTAAATATTTATTTTTACATGAACCAAAATACTATTAAACTAAAATTTTATCAAATATACAAATTTAACCTGGGGCGGGGGCATGTCCCCTTCGGGCCCTCACTATGCTCCAATCAATACCGCAGTATAACAGCCTGACTGGAACAATCATTTCTTGTATATGTCACCGATACAGCAATATATCGTCTGACTGGAACAATCATTTCTTGTATACGGCACCAATACTACCGCTTACGGTCATTCCTTGATTTATTGCAGGAGCTAAGGGATACGGATATGGTCCGAAAATAATAGTGAGGAGCATTAAGAGAATCAAGAAAGGGGAGGAAGTTTGTGTTTCATACACTGATTTGCTTCAACCGAAGGTGTTTACTTATTTTCTAATATTGCAATCTACATTTTGATTTAATTATCAAGTCTTCATTTTTGAGTTGCAAAATGAGCGTCTGCATTATGGCTAGACTTTAGTCGTAATGTGATTGAACTGTGTCACTATCATGTTGGAAGAATGCATAGGTTTAGCAATTGCAATTTCTAGGTGTTTATTTGAAGGCTATTGATGATTGTCTTGGATGTGCTCTTCACTGAGTTAGCGTGCAAGCTTGTGTCAAAATTTGTTGTAGATTTGGATAGCATGGAGTATTGGTTTATTAAGTATTCCTAAACCATTATCTTTAATCGTCGGTTCCAAATTATGGGATTTATCATTTTGTTTGTTTATTGGAAAATTTGTGAACTTCATTTCGAGAGCTTTGCATAACAAATTTGAACTTAGTATTATATCAAAGAGAAGATCTAAAATCTTAGGCCATTCAAAGAATGCAATGAGTGAATGAATTAAGGTAAACACAATGCCTGTTACATTATTGGAAGTTTTATATCTGTTCTAGAAAAAAACATTTTCATAATCTCACATGCTGTGAAAACCAACGTAAAAATGGAAACGTAGGCATACTGAATTGCTCTGAATTAATGTGTTGTCACATATGTTGGTCTGTATTCTTGTTTTGATTTCATTGTTTCATTTCTTTTCTGTAGGCAATGAGGCAATCAGATTTATGGTTTAAATATCAGTTTACCTGTTCTTGTAGGCGATGCGCCATGTATCCCTCTTATGTCGATCATGCTTTAGAGGTAATGATAAACTGCATAATTCTCCTGATTTAACCAGTGTGTGTTTTCCCCTCCCCCGGTCCCCCCCCCCCTTTTTTTTTCTACTTGAACACATCGATGTCATTTATTTCAGCTCAGAGGCTTGCAATGGATCAAGATTCAAGTACTTATTTTTGTTGCAATCTCAAATATATTTTCAATTGTCATACATGATTGCCCCTTAATGGATTTGATACTCCCTTTAGCTTTCTACACACTAGGGCTGGGTCCACATTTTTGGTTAGGAAGGTGTACAAAATCATCCCTTCATAGGACTTGATAATCGATACTCCCGTTAGCTTGCATGTTGAATCTGTTTGAAAGATATATTGACTAACCTTTCCCTTAATAGTATTGATTGATGGTTTAGATTTTCTAATTAATAAATTCCATACTAGTTGCAAAAGATTATTTGGTATTTATCTCCCTTTCCTTTATGCTCCTGCACTGTCAACTGATTTTAGCTGTGTTTTAAATCGGGTTTACTTTCCATATTTTTTTTCCTTGAAATTCTAGTAGCATCATTATTTGTTCAACTTATGAATTCTATGAACAAGCATTATAAAGAATCATCAGCACTTGCAGGAATTGATTTCCAATCCGAGCTCTTCAAGTTTGCACTTTGATTTCGATCTTTATAGGGATGAAGCAAATAAAAAGTTGTCTGATTATGTCGATAAAACTATTAACGAGTTTCTATCAGTTGGTGATCCTGAGTCCTGCTGTATGAAGCTTGAGAGTGTGCTGAGCCTAGGTCTTCAGATTGAGCAAATAGAACACGGGGATGGGAAATCACATCTCAACGTCAAGTTTCATCCCTTTCACCATGTTGCTCTCAGTGCTTATACGACGCTCTCTTCTGTATATAGAATACGTTCTTCTGACGTCTTAGCCCTACATTCAAGAACAGATGAATCTCTATTCAAAGCTTTTGACATGAGTAGGATCAGTGCAGCTTACTCTCTGTTGTTGGCAGGTGCGAGTCACCATTTGTTTTGTTTGGAATCTTCTTTGCTTGCGTCTGCTGCAAATTTCTGGAAGCAAGCAGGGGATTCTTTATTATCCCTCGCTAGAAACCGTGTCTGGAACTCATTGGGGTTTCTGGTCTCAGATCTCTCGACAGTTGTGAAGTATAAATGCTCCAAGTGCTCATTGCTGGACATCTCGGCTGCCGAATTCTTTAGCCAAGCGGAAAGAGCGAATGTTGAAAACATATCTAGCGATTTTCTTGCTTGTGTTAGCAACATGGCACCTATGATTTGGAGATTTCTCATTAATGGTTGCCATTACCTTGAAACAATTGAAGATCCATTCGATTTTCAATGGCTTGCACTCCTGAACCGTGATGAAGAGCATGATGGTTTCGTAAATGAGAGCAGTAGTTTTGAACATCGTGCGGAATTGTATACTAATGAAAGGAGGATACATATTTACAAGGTTGGTATCCATTGCTTAATGTACGGTGTAATTTTAGCACAAATTTGTTATGGGCAGAATTCTCATTTTACCCCTATTCTGAATCTTGGAGAATACTTTGTAAATTGATTCATGAAACTAATTAAAATTATGAAACATAAGTGTTGTGTCTCTTATGGATCTCTGTAAAATTGATATCCGTTACATGCATTAACTCTTGGAGAGTATCTTCGAACGTAAAGATACCTCCAGACTCTCAGGAAGTGTCAATACTTGACATGATTTCCATAAGACCCATCAAATCAAAATCGACTAACAATTCATCGCATCAATTATGTTTGTTAACCTTCGAATATTCATAATAGCCTTATATTTGACATATGCATCGAGTGTCACTATAAAAAGTTATATACTTTATATATGCATCGAATGTCACTATAAAATCTTTGAGAGATAATTTAAGAATATTTTTCATTCTCTTTTTTTTTATGGAAACAAAGGATCTCGTCATATAATCATTGTCTATTGTTTTCCGTTCAAATCGGAAGGGATAAATCATCTATAGTCATTATAACTCATTTATTCCTATCACCAGTAAGCAATAATAGTTAAATAGACATGTCATTGGAGTGAACTCAATATTTCATGAAATAATGTTATTATCATTGAAAATTGAATGACTAAATTGACATGTGATTAAAAAATAGGTGGTAATACCTTAAATCCGACTGAGCTAAAATGTCACATTGGATTGCCGAGGCAACCACTAAAATATCAAATCTTTTCATTTTCATTTAAAACATTATAATTACATTTAAAGACATCCTTAACCGTTATAAAATAGTTTTACAAACCTAAGCTCTGTGACATAGTTTAAACTAAAATAACATAATCTCAAAGTTTACAAACTCAATGCAATAATAAGGGTCCTATGAATACGCATGACCACTAAAAGTTATAGCACAATACTTTGAAATAGATATTTGAAGTCCTGCTGTGATGGTGCTCCACAAACGGCTCAACCTATTAACCTACGAATGGAAACATTATGAATCTTATAAACATAAGCACACTAAAAGACATGATAATAAACAATATATACATGTATGATTATTGATAACTCCGTAAAATGACTACTTTTAAGGCCTTTTTCACTTAAGTTATTGTTTGTCTAAGGGTTCATTTAGGTCATTTTAGATCCATGTAGCTGCATATAATTGCATTTGTGGTGGTTGTGTTATTTTATTTTGTTAAGGTCTTGTATTAGGAGGAAGGTGTGGTTTTTAGTGATGTGCAGGAACTAATAAGCAAAGGGCGAGCTGGGAAAGAATGTCATGGCATCACACGTTGCTGAAGCAGAATGAAATGCCTTGGCATTTATGGCGCAGAAAAGGACAAAAAGATAATTTTATAAAAGAACAACTGGCAAGGCACGTGTATGATGGTTACAACTGCCTACTGGGGACCACTATCACCTGTGGAGATAGACCTCACACATAAGGAGTGACTCTAGGAGTATGATGGGTATTTTGAATGTAAAAACCCATGAATACCCTTAGATATTTTTTTATTATTTAAAGCACCACATAAGAGAGAGAAAATAAGGTTACACACCAACTGGAAATCTCCATTTTTTTTCATATTCTCCACCGTTCTCTTCCTTCTATTTTTAGTGGTGTTCCTCCATTAACAAGCTCTAAGGAGTGGGGAGCTAGGCGTCCGAGAGGAGCTAACGAGCTAAAGCGGTTTGTGGTGGTCGAGGAGAGCTCTGTTAGTGCACGTCGAAGGCTTTTTCCCCCTTCCCCTTTTCTGTTATTTCTCATTTGATTTGGATTGCGAGGAACGAGTAGATTTTATGATTTATTTCATGGATTATTCGAACCCCACCATGAACTAGCTTTATTTGGTTAGAGTTCACTATAGATGTTTAAGTTCTCTCTTTAATGGATGATTGTTCTTTTTCTATGATTTTATTTGTTTTGTTTATGGTGCTTACTGTCTTAAGGTTGTAGGAGCTATGAGAGTAGACATTCCTTAGGAAAATACTAAGTGTTTGAGAGAAACTAAGGAGGATGAACATAAGAAAAAGGTTTTAGATAATAACTAAGCCTAATTCACCCTTAAACATAAGGTTAGGATTTCAATCGACTAAAAGGAGTAGTGCTCGATCGAGAGGGTAGATGTTAGTGTGAATACTGAATGAAATTGTCGTGACATATTCTGTTGCAGTGATGGGATTCCTGCACATGCTAACGTCAATAGGTATTGCCATGGCATTCTCATCCTATCGAGTCCCTTGACTAGAGATAGCATAGGGCACCTTTAGTATACTCTGTCGGGCAAGTAAAACATAGAAGTGAGATCATCCTGAGAAGTTAGACTTAAGTTTCCTAAGTGGCATGACCAAAAAATGGTGCCACAGTATTTTCAAGTTGGCCAAAAAGTGTTACTTTACAATTCCAGACTTAAGCTCTTTCACAAAAAGCTCAAATCTCAATGGTCAGGACCATTTGAGGTGCATCATGTCTATCCCCATTGAGCATTTGATGTTAAAAATGTCGACGATGGAACAATCTTTAAGGTGAATGGTCAGCACCTAAAAATTTACAACGGAGCTCCAATGTTTTGTGACAATATCTGCACGTCGCTTGAGTGTGCCTGCTCAGTAAACCAAATTTCAATGCCACAACATTGAATTATGCTAATTGTGCATAAATAACGAACTTAATTTTTTTATCTTTATTTTTATTCTTATTTCTATTATTCATGGATAATAACAATTTGTTTAGTACTGTAGGGACCCACAAATAATTAGGGATATACGAAGGAGCGATTTTAAAGGGGAAAGAAAAGACAAAACAATTAAAGTGGAAATATTCTTTTATATTTGTTCATTTTTAATTTTATTTCCATATTTTTTGACTTGTCATTTCACATCACATTTAATTTTACAGTTTACTTTTTCCCACCTACCCATTTTACCCCTTCCACTCACATCATTTTAAACCATCCTCTCTCTCTCTCCCTCCCTCGTTATTTCTTTTAACTTTTCATTTTCATCTTATTCTTTTATTATTTTCCTCCATGATCGAAGCTCTTAACACAAGCAAAGCTCTCTCATTTTTGCTTTTTCTTCCTTCAAACCATTAAAACAATTGTACAAACGAGACCCACGGAAGCTGAAACTACTATCCCTCAGCAGTTTGTTGACGATAAGGCAAAGGAGCGACTTCAAAATTTCAAGAACTGTGAGCTTTTTTCGAGTTGACAGACTCATTTGCATGCTCTACACGGTGATATAAGAAATTTCTTTGGTTATCTAAAGCACAAGGATGTTGTGGTGGAATACTTTATTGAACTATATTTTGATATAACAATTTAAGGTAAAATGTTTTTGGACTTGAATTGAATTTATTCAAAAGTTTTCGAAGTTTTCAAAAATAATTCAAAGTCCTTAAAAGTGGAATTGAGCACAAAATACATTTTTTGTAATTAGTATCGATACATCATGAACAAGTATCGTTATTGTTCATATGGTACCCATACCAAGGTAAGGAAAGTATCGATAATCACTAGGTAGTACCGATACTACCAGCTTTGCTCAAATTCCAGAATACAAAATGGTATCGATAATACTATGTATAGTAGTACCGATACCATTGCCATAGTATCGATACCATCAGGCTCCAACAGCTAGTTGATTTAAATATAACAAAGGTAGTACCGATACTCCCTTTAGTAGTACCGATACCCCTTGGTTTGTGCAACTTTGTTTTGCACAAAAATTGATCCCCAATGGCTCCAAACAACCTCTAACGGCTAGAAACGGCCACAAGAACATTCCAACACATAAATACAAGTTCAAGACACTTGAAAAATGGTTAAAACACATATCCAAACAATCAAACACAAGAGAAGAGTTTTTCATTCTTATTTTCAATTCTCTTGTAAATATTTTTGTTTTTGTGAGCTCTTAATTTATAAACACCCTCATTTCTAGAGGTTTATTTGTTTACACTCTTTTTTCCTTTGTAAAGGGTTTTGGTTCTATCTTAGCCATTGAAAATATAAGGAGTTGTAAAGGTTATCTCTTTTTCCTTGAAAAAGAAATAACAAATTAATGAATTTGTTAGAAAATCCTTGGTGAGGAGCTAAGGTAGTGGATGTAGACTTGGTTGATAATTCGAACCACTTTAAATCCTTGTGCCAAATTGTCTTATCTTTTTTTTCTCCTTACTCCCTAAATTCAATTTTATCTTTTAAACCCCTTTACACTTTTTCGATTGTCAATTGAGCCTCTTCATAATCCAACAATTGGTATTAGAGCCTAACTCATTTAGAAGGTTTAACCATCTTGAGACATTCCTAGAAGAAGCTCTACTAATTCCCGACGCAACCGAGAAGAAATGGCTTAAACCTCCAGTGCATACTACATTGAAGATTCATAACCGATCAACAAGTCACCCTACTTCAATTGAGCTAATTATGCCTATTGGAAGAATAAGATGATGCTCTTCATTCAATCCAATGATGTAAGAGCTTGGAACTCTATCATGAAAGGCTAAATTATTCCAACCGGCGAGATGGACGATTGGAATGATAGAGAGAAGAAGAAGAAGTTCCAACTCATGCTAAGGCTATACACATTCTCTTTTGTGCATTAGGCCCAGATGAATATGGAAGAGTCTCCTCTTGTTCCAATGCCAAGGATATATGGGATAAGCTCTAGGTCACTCATGAGGGAACAATGAAGTGAGGGAAACCAAGATAAGTCTTCTCAACCATAGCTATAAGAATTTCAAGATGAAACCCGATGAAGACATCAAAGCTATGACGTATAGATTTTCTGTTATTGTCAACAATCTCAAGGATTTGGAGAAGTTATCTCCAATAAGAAGTTAGTGAGGAAGATGATCTACTCTCTTCCAAAGTCTTGGCAATCGAAGAAGACGACGATTATCGAAGCTAGAGACCTAAAGTCTCTCACTCTTTATGAACTAATTGGTTCTTTACTTACCCATGAATTGATGGTGAAGGAAGAGGAAGATGATGAAGAAAAGAAGGAAAATAAGAATGAAGAAAAGAAGAAGGAGGTGGGAGTTGCCTTCAAATCCACCAATGATAGCTATGAAGATTCTAGTTAAGAGGTGGATAAAGACAATGATGAAGAAGAAGAGATGGCCAAGCTCTTCAAAAAGTTTAAAAAATTTATGTGTTCCTCGGAAGTGAAGCATGAATCAACCAAGAAGAAGGGTCCTTCGGTGTGCTTCAATTGTCAAATAAAGGGGCATGTCAAGTATGAATGCCCTCTCCTAAAGAAGAAGAGATCATCAAAGAAAAAGGCATTTGTGGCAGCTTGGAGTGATGAAGATGACTCCAATGATGAAGATGAAGTAGCAAACCTATGCCTCATGACCATCGAAGATGATCCCGAGGTATCTTCTAACTCAAATGATTTAAATTCACATTCTTTTAATGAGTTACAAGATGATTTTAATGAGCTGTATTTGGAATTTGAGACCATGAATTCCAAATATAAGAAATTAATTTCAAAATTTAAAGTTGAAAATGATTTGATTTTAAAAGCCAAAGTTGATTTTGAAAATCAAAATGAAATTTTGAAAAATGACTTAGAGTTTTCAAAAGTCAAA